GGTGATTCGGGCGCTCGCATTTAGTGGTCGTGAAAAATTCGACAATTCATTTTCTTTCAAAATTCTTGGTACAGTTTGATAGCCAGCTCCAGAAGCTTTAATTTGATATAGGGGTTTAGGTATCTACAACTTAAACTGCACGCGCTACATCGCTTGCGCGCGAGACACCCCTGAAGGTATACTGTAACCTTAAGAAAAGATAACATATATAACATTATACAGTGTGGATGTATGTTAGGATCGTCAACAAGTTTGAAAACTTGTCAAGGTTTTGGTTTATCCAAAGAGGTACGGTGTCATATGTGTAGGCAGTGAACAGCTGGTGAACTCACTGGTTTTTAAGTTAGGGAAAATATGTTTAGCATCAAGCATGAGGAGGTTCTGTTAAGGGGGTTAAATGCATGTCTGTTCTCTGAATTTCAAACCTTTTTGCATTGCAATTTCTGAAGGTCCTTCAATTGCCACAAGTGATGACCATTGTTCATCCTCATTTTTTTTTGGCCTCAATGGCACTGTTTCAATGTCATGTTGTTTATCTAGCTAAATTTTACCCTAAGAGAGTGCTCATCAGTGAGAAATATGAAACATTTCACTTTTTAATACATGCTTTTTCATGTAACCTTCACACAAAAATATGAATTACCACATGTTAAAAATAATGCCATTTATCAATGAGACTTACAGAAATTCTGGTCCTTTCCATGTACTGCCATTGTAACCTCTTTAATTAAAACTGTTTTTCTTCAAAGGATTCAATATTTTTTTAATTTTTCTTTTAAAATCCAATCATTTGCATGTTAAATAAATTGTGCTATAGTGCAAATTGTTCTTTTATCAATCAATCTTTTCCTCCCACTTATCCGACAGGGGACGTATTTTTGAAAGTGACTCTTAACACGATTTAATTAGAGGGCAATTTATCATTTTGGTAAGCTTAATATTCCTCTCTTTGATTTCAACACCCTCAAGATATTTTGCAGTGTTGTGTTTACCAGATGATACCTTCTGTTACGAGATGCTTGTGTTGATATATTTGTGTAAATGTCTCTGAAAATAAAAAATAACATGATCCTATTGGCCTTCTTTTTGGTTTGTTTCAATACAGCTGATAGCTTCTCATGCCAGGTGTTGAAATGCATATTTTATTCCTAAATTATTACCATTCATTCAAGAGGGGGGTAGTTGACAAAGGCCAAAAGCCAATATTTACTCTCTTGCCAGGCTGTCACAAAAAATACAAGATACTGTCCTTTTGTAGTTCTTTTGAGTGAGCAGGTGAAAAGGAAGCAAAGAAGTAGAAATATAGTTTTGTTCATCGTGTTCAGAGAATTCAGTTGTCAAGACACTCCTTAAGTTTTGGTGAGACTCTCTTTTAATATTAATATGAAAAATATTGCTTATAAAAGAGTTATTGGAGTTCCTGTTTAACTTGACTCTCAGAATGGCTTTAGTTTAAAATGATTCTTGTTTTAGTTTCAAATGCTTGAAGGTATCTCGTAAAATGTATTAAATACAGGCATAAAGATTAATTTTTTCTTACAGTAAAGTGCCTGTAAGACTAGATGTTTTGAATTATATACAAATTAATCTTGTCTTCATTATCATTTACAATGCTACATATCCAAAGCAGTGTTAGGGGAAGCATTAGCGACATTGGGTAAGAGCCCATCTCCCATAGTGTGGTCTGGGTTTGATTCTGGCCAGTAGTCATACACAAGTGGAGTTTTTTGTTGATTCTGATCTCTTGTCTTTCTGTAGGGGGTTTTTGCTGTGTATTTTGGTTCTTCAGGCCCAAAACCTTAAGTGGCACACATGTTTTTAAATCTAATTTGATATAAAGTACACCCACATGAAAACTGGCCACCTTTCCTGTGGCTTTCATCTCAAAATGTTAGATAATAATTTTGTAATTAAATGTTTTCCGTGGTTGAAAAACAAGTGGGGCATTTGTAAAAAGTATATTTTAAGTATCATATATTTTTTTACATCATATGATTAATATTATATCTATACTCTAACAGAATGATAGGATAGGATAGGATACTTTATTTAAGATGGCAATATGCTTAGCCATACGGCCAGTTTACAGATATCCCACTACTAAAATTAACATAACTAACTACGGTAAGTTTGTATAGCTGCAGTAACAGCACTAAACATGTACATGGCACACTCTCATTTGTAAGGTCAAATAGATTTTAAAAAAATGTCATCAAGTTCTGAAGACAGTTGAATAATGTAGATCAAAAAAATTAATTTAGGGAAGGTTTTCATTGGTATCTAACTTTGCATCAGAGTTAGATCTATAGACAGTAGAAACACAGAAGTCTTCAAATTCCTCAAACATGCAAAGATAAGACATTACCTTTCCTATGCTGTTTCTTTTCATTGCAAGAATTATTTGGAGTGAAGTTTTGTTGACTCTTCTGCTTTCCACATGGTCTCTGAATCTGTCTCTACAAGTGTGTAAAAACCAGCTCTTAGTGTTGAAGACAAGATGGGCCAAAATCCAAAATCATGTTCACCCACATTTTTATTTTATTTATAAATTTAAAGGAGTTTGTAGCTGTAGGTGTTCTTTTCTGTTCATGTGATAGATCTCAGGTAATAACTGCAGTGCTAATCATGAAAATAGGTTTGAAAAGATTCCTGGATGGGAACAAATTTTCCTATCAAACCACAGGTCCATAGTTACTTTTAATTAATTTTAAGTATTTTTGATTTTTAATTTCTCTGCCCATAAAATTACTGTAAGCAGGTCTGTACATGAACAATGTAGTTTTCTTGCCTGACTGTCTCTAGATCTCACTAATCACTATCCCTTTTCTATTTACCTAAAAGAAGGAAAGATTGTCTGTTTTCAATGAGTTACATGTACCTTCATTGAATGAATTTTCAGAGCTCTTGTTGTTAAGATCTCAGTCTGTATACTTTTACAAACAGGGGAGCATAATGTAACTTAGCAGGCTTGGTAAATGTAGGTGTACAAGTTACTCTGACTCATAGTTCCGTGTTTATTTTCAAAACACCAACATTCACAGGTCTGTATAATGTCTAGTGTTTTTCTCTTACTCATGCTCTCTAATTTTGAAAAAACATTTTGGAATCACATCGCAATCTGACAAAATGGATTGCTACTCTTTGGGCAATTGGCTGCCTTGGCCTTGTTTTGGTTATCCCAGTAGAATTGAACAACACTACTTATTTTGAATTCTTGTCTGCCTGAAATACAAAACTCTTCAAAATACATTTAATTTAAAAATGCTTTGAAATGTTTCTTGCTAGTGTCAGTGATATGACCATGTTGTGCTGAGTGGTTGGCTGTACTATACATGTAAGCTTTTAGCCAGATGGGCATCCAGGCATCCTGTGGACGGCCACTTATTAAAGAAAATTGTTTTATTTTTCATATGTTGCCGTATAAATTGTTTGTTTGAGTAGGCGCTATACATGTAGCACATTTTGGATGCCCACTTTGGCTGACTGGCTGGCTGCCAAAAAAAACAAAAAACAAAAACAAAAAAAATTATAAATATGTTTTCCAGTTTGTCGATTGGGCAAGCTGGAAATAACATGTTTTAGCCTGAAGGGCTTTTTCATTGCCTTTTCATTATCTGCCAATAATTCAATATACAGAGCTCTGTAGAGTACATGTAACTTTGCCTTAGTTATATGCACCTTGTAAGGACATGGCGGGGTTGAGTGAGAACTCTGGAGAGTGTTGCTTGCTTGTTAGAAAAGCGATGGATCAAGTCTGTAGTCCTCCAGAAATATCCACTTTATAGCCCTAGGCTGCTAGACAGACACTTCTTCATACTCTGAGAAGTCTAGAGGGACATGGTGATAATAAATGTTACTTTTTATTTTCAACAGGTTGTCATAAAAGGTAAAGGAGGAGCAGTCTCCTTCACTGATGAAAGTGAAGACATCTCCAAGCTTAACGAGGAGGAGCTGAGAGTTGTGTACATTGGTATAGAAGGGATGCACTGCAACTCCTGCATAAAGAACATTGAAGGAAATATTTCTACACTAAGTGGAGTGAAGAAAATTGAAGTGTCGCTGGAGGAAAAAGAAGGAAAAATTACCTACTCACCGAGACATACGACTGGAAAAGTGTTAGAAAAAGCCATTGGAGAAATGGGCTTTGAAGCATCAATGAAGCAAATTGTTGATGTTTTGACACAGAATGAACTGGCTCTGTCAGAGGACAGGATGGTTGATAATAAAGAAGCTGAAAGCCTTGAAAATTGCCTCAAGAATAGCAGCGAGGTGAAGATATCTGTGAAAGGAATGACCTGCCAATCTTGTGTCAGGACTATTGAGCAGGGTGTGTCCAAGCAGCCTGGTGTACAAGCTGTCAAAGTGTCACTTAAGAATGAGGAGGCAGCAATTACATACAACCCATCATTAACTGATCCAGGCTTGCTTAGAGAAGCTATTGATGACATGGGCTTTGATGCCTCCTTGTCGTCTCCTTCAGCCTCCCCTCCCCTGACAAATGATGTCCAGATGGTCATGATCAATGTGGATGGAATGACATGCAATTCATGTGTCCAGACCATTGAGAAGAGCATTTCTAAACTTGGTGGCGTGCAGTCGATTTCAGTGTCATTAAAGAGAAAGACAGCTCAAGTTCATTATTCACCTGAAAAAGTGACAGCCAAGCAGTTGAGAGAATCTATTGAAGAGATGGGATTTGATGCCCGCTTGATAGGAGATGACATCTGCAATGTAAACAAGGATGTGCGTACTGCAATGATAAGCGTAGAAGGAATGACCTGTATGTCCTGTGTAAAGACAATAGAGGGAAATATGTCCACTAAGCCTGGTGTACAAAGCATCAAAGTTTCCCTCGACGATAAACGCGCTGCTATAGAATATGATGAGTTAGTGACAACTCCAGAAGATTTGCGTGCAGGAATAGAAGACATGGGATTTGATGCATCATTCTCTGAAGGTAATTAAACCAGCTAGCTCATTCTTATTGCCTATATTTTATTAATGTTAAAAAGCAGTTTTCCTCAAGTTTTAAAAGCAAATGGAATGATTACCAAACTTACAGAAATTGAAATCTACGCGGGTAAATTGCAAATTATTGTTAGTAGAAGAAATGAGCTAACAAAATAAACGTTCCAAACGTATTTTTGAAAATAAACTAATTATTTTCATGCAGTAGATCTACAATGTTGTATGTATATTTACTTAGTATGTACTTTATGAAAAGAAAAAGACTTAAAACTAGTAAAAATTTATAATTAGAGTATTTTTTCTGTAGGTGAAAAAAGAAAACCTGTAGATAGTAAAGAAACATTTATCAAAATTGACAAATTTAGAGCGCTCCTGACCATTTCCTCATGAGAGTCATTTTGGCATAGATCTTTGTAACTAGTGTTAATTCTTAGTTGTCATATTTCTTGGTACCTGCTCATGTCAAGTACAAAGAAGACTTGTACTCATAGACCATAGAAGCTGATTAAATTACCTGTGAAAAATACAAGCAAGAGTTGACCTAGAATTAATATTCATAAAGTACAAGACAGAAAAAAAAACATTGTTCCTCTTATAATAATGTACTGTACTGTCTTATAAAAAAGGAACTCAACAGTATCTTTTGCCCTGAATGGCTGATCCTTAAAGAATGTAAAGTTAAGCACTGGGTTGATCACAAAGTCATTTTGATGGCAACAGGACTTGTTTTGATTGTGGTCAACCAGGTAGCAATTCACCCTTGATGAGACACACTTTGTAAAACAAAGGAGGTTATTGATATTCTGGTAATAGATAAGTCTAAACACTTTTTATACATGTTCATGTAATTCCCAGTTCAAATTAAGGTTCCCCTTACCTGTGCTTGGATAATAATCATTCAATATTATTTATTATCTGCGCATGGGGAATTTGGTTCTGGGAATTTGTTGATCAGGACTGTATTCATGATGGCAATAGAGACGTGAGACTGGCAGTTAAATTAAACACCACATTGAGTACAATAATGGAGATTTGAAGAGATGTACACGCACAGAAGCTACTATATGTTAACAACAGTTATAAGAGCCTACGAACGGATAATTTCACTAGTTGACATTTTGCCAGAAACCAAAACGGGAGGACAATTGTGAATTGTGTTGGCAGGATTTGGGCGATCTGGTCTTGACAATGAGCATGCTTCTAAGTTTTTTTTTTCTAATCTGCATCTATAGCTAGTCACTGACTTACAATTTACTTACTGTGCGACTTATGGTCAGCTGAAATGTTTCTTGTATACTGCTAAGATCAGCAATGTTGAAAGCATCATATGTAATTAATAAAGAGAGAAAGGTTGTTAAGATCAGTTTGATCTTAAGAGACAAGCTATTCTAGAAAGTGCATTTTAATTTTATTTTTTATTATTGTATATATTGTAAAGTGCATTTGATCATATATATATGTTAATAATTCTTGCTATAAAAATAGTTAATATTATTATTATCATTATTATTATTATTATTATTATTATTATTATTATTATTATTTTAAGTCCTTAAAGTCTTGCTGATTTTAACTTATGGTGCCGAGTTCAATCCATGAGCCTAGGGCAGTCATAAGTCTGCTGGATTACTTGATGGATAGAGTCCTTTATGTGAGGACGGTCTTCTGTAGCTCTGTTATTCTAATATTGCCTGGGATCTTATTTTATCTTATTGTTATTATTATTATTATTATTGTTATTGTTATTGTTATTGTTGTTGTTATTGTTGTTATTATTATTGTTAGTATTATTATTATTATTATTATTATTATTATTATTATTACGATCGGGGATAACTGAATGTTGTTAAGTTGCCAGAAAGAAGTTACTTAATAAGCTATTCTGCTATTTTTGATGTTGTTTTCATTAGATGTCGAGGCATCAAGTAAGGAGGGTTCGGGTGCCGTGGCAGTTGAGCACAACTTGGGAGGTGATTGGCAGGTGACCTTTAGTAGAAACCGTGACGCCCCGAAGACCATGGAGTTAACAGGTGACGAAGATATGGACAAGATCTACCTACACATTACTGGCATGACATGTGCATCATGTGTGGGAAGCATTGAAAAAGGCCTCATGAAGAAAAAGGGTAAGCTATTAGTTGTAGTAGTAGTAGTAGTAGTAGCAGTAGCAGTAGCAGTAGCAGTAGCAGTAGCAGTAGCAGTAGCAGTAGCAGTAGCAG